GGCATATTTTGATGGGAACATAATATCAGTACATATTTTCCTTCTGTAGACAGGTGAAAGGTACATACATACGTTATAATAACTGTCACCCTCCCTTCCAGAACAGATTGCAGGTTCGCAGGCACCCTTTCAAGTATGGGCATGTTCATATACAAACACACATGCACACATTCACATCACATATGTGTGCCCACACACATCTATTTCTTCTTATACCTGATCTATCCCAATTGTAGAGGATTATGCCAGTTCATATTATGCTCCTACATGGGTTTGCCTGAGGGAAAAGATGGTAACTTTGACTAAGCTTGTCATTTTCTATCTATTTCTCATTTCTCTGTTGCTGAGATGATTATTTCAAGAGCTATGCTAGTATTATCTCCAAGAATATTTTTGAGAAATTCAGTTTTATTTAAATTACCTTAAAGGATTAGAAAAGTTTCATAATTTTCATTTTTTTCATAAAAATGAGGAAATACTAGTTTTTATTTTCTCACTGTATTAAACTTAGTGTTCTGATTAACTTTTTCTGACAATTAATTAGTGACCCCAGGCAATGTTACTTAACCTTTAGTGGCTTGGTTTGTTTATCTATAATGAGCTAGGTAACTTTATTTCTGATTTCTAGTCTCTTTTTATATTCTGTCATTTTAATATGATCTCCAAGTCCTCATTATTATTATGTTGTTGAAGTAAATTTGGTATGTGAAAAATTATGTGTATATGAGTTCATTTGGGGGATGATTATTCATTTTAGCAGAAGACTCATCTCTTTCTAAAGAGACTAATTCATTACTTTAAATAAACATTCCCTCAAATTGATTCAGCCATTGTAGAAAATAATATGGAGGTTCCTCAAAAAATTACAAATAGAACTACCATATCACCTGGCAGTCCCACTCCTGGGTGTATATCCAGAAGAGATGAAAACAGTTTATCAAAGAAATATGTGCACTGCCATGTTTATTATTCACAAGTTGCTGAGATATGGAAACAACCTAAATGTCTGTCAGGTGAGTGTATAAAGAAGACTTGAGTTATACATGTACACACACTTAACGCATATATGCACACACACACACCATACAGTATTGTTTAGCCACGAGTAAGAAGGAAATGCTGCCATTTGTGACAACATGGATGGACCTTGAGGGCATTATGCCGCGTCAGTAAAGACAATATATGATATCACTTTTATGTAGACTCTAAAAAAGCCAAACTCATAAAAACAGAGTAAAAGGGTGGTTACCAGGGGCTGGTATTTATGTGACATGATAGGGAAATTAGCTAACACTAAGATGGTAATCTTATTGTAGTATGTAAGTGTATCAGATCAACATGTTGTACACCTTAATCTTAACAGTGTTACATGTCAATTATGTCTCAATAAAAAATAATTAAAAAAAAGATCATTTCTCTGTATATTGGATATATATATTTGATTATCACCATGAGGTGCACTTGAAACATCTTTAAAAAATTTGTTTTGATGAAATATAGTTGCTTTACGATGTTGTGTTAGTTTCAGGTGTACAACAAAGTGATTCAGTTATACGTATACATATTTTCAGATTCTTTTCCATTAAAAGTTACTACAAGATTTTGAATATTCCCTGTGCTATACAATGGGCCCTTATTTATCTGTTATACCTATAGTAGTGTGTGTGTGTTAATCCTAAACTCCTAATTTTTCCCTCCTCCACCCATTCCCCTTTGGTAACCATAGTTTGTTTTCTATGTCTGAGTCTATTTCTGATTTGTAAATAAGTTCACTTGTCATCATTCTTCTACAGTCCTCATATAAGTAATATCATATGATGTTTGTCTTTCTCTGTCTGACTTGCTTCACTTAATATGATAATCTCTAGGTCCATCCATGTTGCTGCAAATGGTATTATTTCATTCTTTTTTGTGGCTGAGTAATATTCCATTGTGTATGTATGTATATATGTTTGTGTGTGTGTGTGTATATATATATATACATCTTCTTTATCCATTCTGTTGGACATTTAGGTTGCTTCCATGTCTTGGCTATTGTAAATAGTGCTACTCTGAACATTGGAATGCATGTATCTTTTTGAATTAAGAGTTTTCTCTGGATATATACCCAAGAGTGGGATTGCTGGATCATATGGTAAGTCTATTTTTAGTTTTTTAAGGAACCTCAATACTGTTTTCCATAGTGGCTGCACCAATGTACATTCCCACCAGCAGTGTAGGAGGGTTCCTTTTTCTCTGCATGCTTATGTATGTCAGTTGTACCTCAGTAACACTGAAATTTAAAAAGTCAATAATTATTCCCCTTGTGCATTATACTCTTAAAATCAGTCAACCACTTTTGGATTACCCCTGTATCTAAGTCAAAGTGTGCCGGCAGTGACTTGCTTGTTGTTTACAAATTTGACATTTTTGTATATAATCTTACAAACTTTTCAGATTTACTTTTAGAAGTATAAAAAAAGGCATGAAATTTGTACATAGTTCACTGTATCTCAGATTCAGAAAGTATTTAATCCTTTTGATTCCCAAACATATACATTAAAAGTATACATTTAACACTGTAAGATATCACTTAACATGTGGAATTTTTAAAAAGTCAACTATAGTGAATATAACAGAAAAGAAACAGACTCACAGATATAGAGGGGAATTAGTGGTTACCTGTGGGTAGAGGGATGGCGGAGGGTCAAGATGGAGGTAGAAGATTAAGAGATACAAACCACCAGGTATAAAGTAAGCTACAAGGGTGTATTGTACAACGTGGGGAATATAGCCAATATTTTGTGATAACTATAAATGGAGTATAAACTTAAAAATTTGTGAATCACTATATTGTTTATCTGTAACATATGATATTGTATATCAACTATACTTCAATTTAAAAGATATGATATAAATAAATAAATTTTAAAATGGTAAAAAAAATACATTTAACATATAGGATACATTTTTTCCCCCTTCTCTTTCTGGTCTTAAAAAGAACTGGGAATAAAAGGAATATTGATTTCAGTGTATGATAATGTAATAAAGTTTATTTAACATTTTGTATTTCTTCTTTTGTAGTTTTAGAAGTAAATGTTTCCCCGAATTTTACTTTATTGTCTGACATTTATCTATCTTTAATATTCCTTTTTATCTCAGTAATAATAGTGATTGCTCTTGAGTTACACATGTACACTAGTGAGATCTCACTCATTGGTTGGAATTTTTGCAACAAATGTCAAGAATAGTAGAGCTCAGATTTACTTTATGTGATTTTTGTGCATACTTTGGCAAATGTGACAATCATCAGTTGACTATAAATTTGAAATATAGTAATTATTTGACTTAGCTTTTTATTTATGAAGTTCTTTCATTTGATAAAGATAAATTGAATAGTTTAAAAAGTGGGAGTTAGTTTTCATTGTCACTTGTGGTTTTGAGAAAAGTCTTAGAATGTAATCATTTTTATTGTTAGTACCAAGCCTTGTAAAAATGATGCAGCTGTATTGAAGATTAGATGTGAATAGTAAAACCTAACCAGTTTGTGTTACGTATGGGGTAAGTCTAGTTTCAGTGACAGGCTGTAAATACACAGGCTTGTTGCATAAATTAAGTACATAACTCAAACTAAGTTGTAAGTGTTGCCTTCTGGAGGATAGGTCTTAATGACTGTATAAGAACTATTTCTAAGTAGCCTGAGAACATCAGTGATGGGGTCGATATACTTTATAGTTCTGTTGTTGTTATTACATGATTATTCTAAATTTCTTGAAAATAGTTTATTATAATTTGTAAATGTTCCCGTTCCAGTCATTTGACTACTTTCTCACTTTTAAAGATATGTAGTGAACAGGTATAGTTAATTCTACCCCTTCAGCAAGTGATCAGTGGTTGCTCATTGGTAGTATTCCAGTTGATAAGGTCTCACTGTATTTATACCAAGGTTTGCTGAATAATTATTCTTTGATCATCATAGCTTTAGGTGTTTCTTGCTAAGTCTGTCTTCTTGATAACCGGTGATTAGTCTGTATTGTTGGTAATAAAGAAGCAGAGGCATTGTTACCATCAGGTTAGAATGTAAATCTAACCTACTTTAGTGGTATAAATACCGTTGTCTAGTTTTTTAGCTTTCTTCCTGGATGACCTACTTTTCTTTTAGTGGATATCATGGTTTTTATTTCTCATGTTATTGCTGTAAAATATTTCTGTTTCTTATAACTTAACTGTTCATAATAAGCTTCTGTAATAAGCTAAGATGATGAGCTTATTTAATATTTTTTATTATGCAAAATTTAAACATAATTTATAGCATAATTATAAGGTTATGCATATATAGAACACTACAGAATTTTATTCAGCTTACGTTCATTTAAAGTAGTGGCGATACTTTTCAGAGTGAAGGAAGTAGCTCTATGATAATTGATAATATTATTCAAAAATTTTTTTGATAAAAATGATTATGACAAAGTAAGCTTTTGGTTTAATTTAATAGTTTAATCATGCCATCTACATATAAAATTTGTCTTATAAGAGTTTATAAGAGTGGGAAGCTGGAGAATGGGGTGAGGATCACATCTCATTTTATGCAGTGTGAGTATATGTGATAAGATGTAAGTAGGCCTTTATAGGGTTGACCCTTCCATGCTAACTCACCTGTATGTGTTAAGGCTCAGATGGGAAAGTGTGTCCTTCCTTATAGTGTTTCCTTCTAGACGATGTGAAGAGGTGCTTAGGAAAGGGTGCTGTGATTTCTACTCCTCAGAAGCTTGCCATTTAAAATAACTTGCTTGAATGAAGTTTCTTTATTCCAGAACTTCATAAGGTCTTAATTTATTAAGGGTTCAGGAAGATTCTGAGCATCGGGTGACCCTATTCATATAGTGAAGTTTAAAGAGAAGAATTAGGAAATGTTTCTCTGAGGCCATTTCTAGACGCTAATTTAAAGCAGTTCTTTGTAACAGTCAAACTCAGGTTATGACCTGTTTTTAATTTCTAACAAAAATCTTTTTAACAGGTGGAGAAAGAACCTGTGGAGTACATGAACTTATCTGTATTAGAAAAGGTGAGTCAATGCTCTGCATGGATATTTAAATACAGAATGAGCATTTCACAGTGGATGATAAGTTTTGGTATGATGCAGATTATTTGGACTTACGTAGTGTAAAATTTAATAAATATTAATATTTGTTGCTTGTATTATAGATACAACCATTCATTAAGTGCATATTGCTTGTTATATGGTTACTGAGTGTTGTTCCTTTATTTTTCATGGGCTGATAAAGCCTGGTTTCTAGCATACTGGTTATCAGACGTGGTGAAGAGGCAAAGAATGGAGGGTTTGATTTTTGTTCCCTTTCAGAATCTGGAATCTGAGTGCATGCTGCTCTCCCATTGACTTCTGTTCTATTACTGTACCCCATCAGAGAGATGTGAGGAGTGGTTGAAATTCAAATCGGGAATATGCCCAAAGACCACAACATCTTTTGACACCAACAACTGTCTGTGCTTCCTTAGAAGGAGCCACCTGACAACTGGGTGGTTGAACAAGGTGGCCCCAGGAAAGGTAATTCAGTTACTAGGTGGGAGGCAAGGAATCAGGTATTCCATAGATTTGGAAGAATCAGGAGAACCTTGGGAGTCCCCACTCTGAGCAGCAGTCACACCTGTGGAATGGTGTGAAGAAAGAAAAAGATACACCCGGGAAGGTCAGGGGAGGAAGTCCTCGTAAAGTTAACTGCTCCTTTCTCTTTTTAAACTCGGGAGACTTTCTTTTTCTTGCATCTTTCTTGAAAATCGAATTGGCCCTCCTGACTCTGGCTAACTAGCAGTGCTCCCTGCCCTAATATTTCTCCCTGAGGAGGTCTGAGGCAGTGTCAGTGTTTGTGATACTCGGGTCTGATGGTGTAGCAGGGTCGTGTCAGCATAGTTGCAGTCAGTCTTCAACAGGTCTGAGAAGTCTCAGCTTCTGTAGAGTTGACTAAAAGGCTTTAATCGTTTTCAGGTGAATTTTGGTTTGGTCCTACTAGTTTATCTATGTATCACCGCCTTTGATTGCTGTTTATTTAAAAAGTCTCCTTCCTTTATTATAGTTTATCTATATATCTTTTCGCTGGTATCATAAGGGAGAAAACTGAAGTCAGGTCCCTGAAATCTCAAATTTAGGATTGTGGTTTTCATGCTGTAACTACTGTTGACTTGTGCTTCTTATCTAAAACAGGAGAGAGAGAAGATGAATTATGTATTGTTTTCTTCCTCTGTGTAAGCATTTTTAGTCTTTTACTACAACGTATGAATCCAGAATTACTAAAAATGTTCTAAAGAATTTTATAGTTGTTTACGTTGTTCCACTAAATCTTTTTTAAAAAACAAAATTTATTTGGACATCAAGAGACACTTAGGAATCAGTTGGAATCAGAAACTATTAAAAACTGTGGCCAGGTGAGGAGAGAATCAAGAAAAGAGTAGAGACAGCTAGAGGGGAGGAAACTAAAATGTGTGGAGGGCTTTTCATGACTACAAGGGGAACAGAAAGCTGCAGGGGAGAAAATAGCATAGCTGGGGGTAGGTGATGATCTGAACACCTCTATTCTGGCTCTTCTTGCTGTTCTTTATTGCTGCCTCTATTCCTGTCCAGGTAGTTCTCAGACCAGGCCTTGCCCAGTTTTCTCTGGATTAGTCCAGCTTTTTCATGCCTTCCACTTTTCTATAGAATTTTAAATCTGTGATTAAAATGTTAAAAATTTTATCACAGTGTAGCTATGTCATGGGGAAGTTTCTGCGTCTCTGTGTATCCCCTTGGCATTCAGTAGTGTCCTAGTCTAGAAGGTGTTCTATAAGTGTTTGAATATTTTCAAAATGAATGCTCAATTCTAAAGCTTTTGCATTTTAAACTGGACTTTCCCAGAGTAGAACCTATGACGGGTTATATAAAGCAGAATAATTAAATTACTGTCAACGGTTCTGGTAAAACGACATCTCTAACACTGTGTTCAACTTATTTTCACCCGTTTGGCTGTTCTTCTCTGTCTGCTTTGCTGGCTTCTCTCCTCTGTCAGACCTCTGAATATTGGAATATACCAGTTTGGTCCTGGGCTTGCTTCATTTTTCCTTCATTTCCTTCCATTTGATTTTATTTGGTTCTGTTGTTTTAAATGCCGTACAAATTTATAAATCTAGCTCTAGCTGTCCTTGAGCTCCCTGCTCTTACATCAAGCTACTTACTTGATATTTCTACCTGGATACCTGATTCTTACTCTAATAAGAACTTGGCATGTCTAAAATGCAGATCTGATTGTCTCACATGAATCTATACTTTCCTCAATCTTCTCCATCTCAGCTAATAAATATATAACAGTCTACCCAGTTGCTGGAGTCCTAACTTGAGAATCATCCCTATTTCTTTCATTCTTTTATCTTCCGCATTTAATTTGGTATTAGCAAGTTCTGTCAGTTCTACCTTCAAAATATATTTTGCGTCTATCTTCTTTTTCTGTCCTGCTGTTATCATTGTGGTCTGAGTCCTTATCTTCTCTTGCCTACACTACTGCTAATAGTTTTCTGATAGGTTCCCTTACTTCCACTCTTATCTCCTTACAGTACATACCAGTCTTTTTTAATGCAGATCAGGTCATATCACTTTACTGGTTGGAATTCCTTTGTGGATTCTCACTACACCTAGAATAAAATCTAAATGCCTTACTCTGATGTACAAAGCCTTACATTAAACATCAACTCAGAAGTCACACCATCCACATCTTCTACATCAGGTCTAGGTGAAACTCCAGGTATGATCCACCCTGGTCCAGAATTCCTCTCCATCTGTAGATGTGTGAAACTAGCAAATATATAACCTGCTCTTAAAATACAATGATGAGCAGGCATAGGTTAACAATTCTAGACCTTTCCATCCCCATAGTGAGAAAATGGAAGGAAGAAAGGAATCACTGGTACCAAGTAGTTTTGAAATCCAATTGGGAAAATCTATTAGGTTTCAAGGCCTGGGAATAATAACTCCGTGGCTCTTGGCCCTGAGGTCTGAGGCTTCACCCTCAGGGTTGAAGACTTTCTCTGTGGTTTTGTATATAGTATTTTCTATTTGCTTAATCTACCTTTATGGTGTTACTGACTTGAGTTTACTCCGTATACAAAAGTCAACATGTAATATCCTAATTCAAATGAAAATCTGTTTAGGGAATTGTAGGAAAAAATTCTTGTAGTAGTGGCTAGAGAATAGGAGATATCAGTGGTGAATTTTTTCCGCTTAAAAGTGAAAATGGCTTTATTTTCCTTGGGGAAAATGTATAGAAGTTCAGATTTATTACCTGCTGTATTTTTCCTTGACTAGAAGAAAATCACTTAGTTAAGCCAGTAAAATATAAATATCTGGTCACAGTTAGGAAACAGGAACAGAGATCAACTTTCTAATCTTTTAGCTCATCTGAATCAAAGACTGTCTTACGGCTAAGTGGTCCCCTGTGGTTCCTTGTGTGCTGCTCATCACTAGTTGAGATGCCCCTTAAGATTTCTTCAAAATATTATCCTGAATTATAATGTAAACCTCATCGATTAACATCTTGGGGGGAGTAGTTACCACCCATCTGACAGCAAAGTCTTACATGGTTGTTGACAAGGTGCTTGGTAAAGGTAGGTTTACCAGCTATGGGGCTGAATTAGAGAGTGTCCTCTATCCATTCAGTTCTGTTAGTATGTTGTCCTGATGCAGCTGTGAGGGGAGTACAAGGTACAAGAGAGGAAGAGAATTTGTAGACAACAGCCAGAACGATTAAGGCTCACAGAGCGCAGGGGGAGCCGGGCTTGGTGCGGCTTTCCCCAGTTTGTGGCAGTGAAAGGAGTGTTGCTGCATGTATTGCTCCTCCTCCTTTCAGGGGGCCGCTGCTGCTTTGTGGGTAAGAGGGAATCCAGTTAGGTTTTCATCCCTTCCTGCCTTTGCCCTCAGGTCCTCCCTTTAAGCTGGAGAGCAGATTTGTTCTTTCTCTTCCCCCTTCAGTGCATCCTGAGCACTTCCCTCTTTTAGTGGTGTTTTCAGCTGTCTCTTTTGGGGGCAACATTAGATAAGTTATCTGAAAATGTAGATGATAATTTTAAATACAGAATTTGCAAAGTTATAGAACTATATTCTGACTTTTAGGGGCTGGAGTGGGGTAGGAATTTTTTGGTTAGTGACCAGACTTTTGTAGTTCTACTGATCCAGAGTAAAAGAACAATAAAATATTTTCTGTCCTTTCTAGTATTTAATAGAGCTAGTGTTTAATAAAGAATCCAGGTTTTGGATTCAGGAAACAATAAATTTCCCAATTTGCTTTTATCCAGGCAGGGCAATTGAATAACTCTCTAAATTTTTTGAGTCTCATTTTCCTTATGTATAAAATGGTGATACAATTAATGTTCTCTATACTAATCTCACAAGACTTTTACGAGGGCCAGGTGAAATAAAGCCTGTGAAGACCCTTGTAGCCGACGGTGAGTTGACATACGCATGATACTGTGTTACTGAAGGCGGTAGGGACGCTCTTGAAGCTTGCAGACTCTTGGAGACAGCCAGATGTATTCTGTGTCTGAATCTGGAAGGTATGTTCTGGTAGTTTCTATTGCTCCTTCTTTTAGTTGTTTGACATTCAGCATTTTGAATCTATGGGAACTACCAGTGAGTTGATAACATGAGTCTTCCAGAATGTTTCAGTAATTCGTTTAAATGATGGCATGTGTATATCAGAAATGCTTTGCTGATCTCTGAATAAGGAAGTGACTTCTAGTATGGAAAATTCTGACCACAAATCTTTGGATGTTGGCATATAAGCAGACTTCTGTGTTCAGTTTCTATGCAACTCCTGTAAAATCATTCTTAATCAACACTCAAATGTGAAATACTAAAAATTACGTAAAATTTATATTTCTGTACTTTTCCTTTACTTTCTCCATTGTGACTAAACAGTATGTTATAAATAATGAGCTCCTTTCCTCAGCATACTAAAATTTAGTTTGAATTTTTAAAAGCTATCTAGAGTCATAATATAGTTCTCCTCATTTATACTGTTTTCAGTT